TTCCACAGTAATGGTGATTTTATGAAAACCTAATGAAAATGTTTTTAAATAATGCTATGAATTTTTTTTTAAAGTCAATTAAATTGACTTTAGAACTAAGAGCCCCAGGAAAAGCTTTTCTTCTGGATCTGACTCTAGAAAAACAGTGCTGAATTTCAAAGAGAGAGGCATAAAACTGAAATGGAAGCAGGTTGCTGAACACCATCAAGACAATGAGCCAAAAAGAGCTTTATAGATTTGACAAGTGCTATAGCATACAGAAGTATAAAATTAAAGTCTGAAACTTTAGGAAGGGATTATTGTCACAACCTTTTTGTTCCCATTTGTTTGAGAATAGCAACATCAAAATGTCTTCTTAAATTAAATTTTACCCTAGGGGGGAAAAGAACCTAAGAGGAGTAGAGGAGTAGAATTTATGGGACAAGACTGTGAGTTCCATGCAGTTGTATTTCCCCAAGCAGAATTCCTGCTGTTATGTCACTTCACACTTGTGTTCCATCATGGCACTTTGTGCTGTGTATTTGGCAGGCAGGACAACGTTGAAGGATTTCTACCATCTACAGCATATCTGTTGGTGTGTCCTTTAAAATCTTGCTTAATGTAATTTTAGGATTAAAACTTGGGTGTGAAAATCAAATTATGTCTTTAATTTCTATTTGTGTTCTTTTATTAGCTTGCTTACTGTGAGATGGCTGTATTTATTTGTTTGCCACTCAGAATTGCCTTGAACTGACAAACAGGTGACCAATAATTTTGATAATAATAGAATTTTATGGGGATATGCTTAGAATGCAACTCAGGTCTATGGTATCCCAGAGTCACTTAATAGTGAGATGGCCGGCATACAAATTTAATAAATAAATAAGTCAATTGACTATACTTAATATTGTTTGCTTTTAAAATCCAGAGGGAACGCCTAGCTTAAGGCAACTTTCTTCTGCTGCAAGAATACTTAAGTTAAAACAGCTACTGAATAGGCAGAGTATATAATTCAGAAATCACCTGAAGTTACTTTCTTTAATCTAAAATTATGTCCACACATACTAGGTTGGTTGATGATAATCACAAATGCTACATTTTGTCCAGAATCTTACTTGTCCAATAAATAGAGCAAAGATGTATAGCAGAGTAATAACTGGTTGAGTTTCTACTAAAATAATTTTCCAAGTCCAGCAGTTAAAAAAAATGTTTTAAACAAACATGTTCTGTTTGTATTAGTCCTTAATGAATCCAAGCTCCTATTTGTTTACCACCACCCCCCCCCCAAAAAAACCCCAAAAATTTCAGCACTCCTTTTGATCCAACTCTGCACCTAAGGTAAAAAGGAAGGTTTGACAACTGGTTAAACAGCATATCATCTTTCATGTTCAAACACTGGAACAATACAGGTGAAACTGAAAAAATAGAATATGGTGCAAAAATTAATGTATTTCAGTAATGCAACTTAAAAGGTGAAACTAATATATGAGATAAGACTCATTATATGCAAAGCAAGATAGTTCAAACTGTGATTTGTCATAATTGTGATGATTATGGCTTACAGCTCATGAAAACCCCAAATTCACCATCTCAGAAAATTAGAATATTACATGCAATCAATAAAACAAGGATTGTGCATAGAACACTATCAGACCTCTGAAAAGTATAAGCATGCATATGTACTCAGTACTTGGTTTAGGCCCCTTTTGCAGCAATTACTGCCTCAGTGTGGCGTGGCATGGAAACTATCAGCCTGTGGCACTGCTGAGGTGTTATGAAAGACTAGGATGCTTCAACAGCAGCCTTCAGCTCTTCTGAATTGTTCGGTCTCATATCTCTCATCTTTCTCTTGGCAATGCCCCATAGATTCTCTATGGGGTTCAGGTCAGGCGAATTTGCTGGCCAATCAAGCACAATAATCCCACGGTCATTGAACCAGGTTTTGGTGCTTTTGGCAAAAGTTGATCTCATCAGAAAATTATTCTAATTTTTCGAGTTTCACCTGTATGTTGCAGCTGTATACCAGTGTCTCTTCTTGAGGCTCTTCTGTTCAAGTGGATCCTTTTTAAAATTAGTAATAGAAGGTTACATGTGGCTGAAGTATTAAAGAGTCTCTTTTGTTACAAATAATTGGTTTTCTTACTTTGGGTTTCTTTTCTGACAGGAGACTGACCAATGTATAATATTACACTTGATTTCTGCAAGATTTTTGTTATGATCAATGCCATCTTTTAAAACATTTTTTCCTTTACCCTAACATTCTTTAAGATAATCCTAGATGGAACTTGAAACCATTATTGCATGTGGTAGCTCATTTAAATGGCTCCATCCATATTCAGCCTGAAAAGTGATTAAACACAGTCTCTACAGCTTGAAAATCAGCTACTCTTAATTTTGATTTTTTTTCTCCTCCATCTTGTCTGTTGAACAGCTTTAAAGAAATTTTATACAGTTTATACATTTTTTTTTCATGGCTTTTGGATTAGCCTAACTCAATTTATTATGTTATTGATTTGTTAAGTTTATTTCCCTTCATCTCTGTGTTTCCATTACTACAACAGCAGTGTTGTGAGTTAAGTTTAGTTGAGAGAGAACAATTAGCCCAAAGGTGAGGTTGTGTAGCTAAGGATACTCTTGATTTGGTCTTCCTGATCCTATATCAACTACCTGATATATCACTCTGGCTAGTTGTCTTTTTTCTCTATTTCTAATTTTTCCCCTCTCCCTTTGATGGTCCTACTGGTATTTATTATTTCTTCCCTAGAACTAATCATATACCTACCAATTTATATATATATTTATATATACATATGATAACAGTGTTCCAATATTTGAGAGACTGTCACAAAGAAGGAGAGGGTCAATCTATTTTCCAAAGCCCCAGAAGGCAAGACAAGAACCAACGGCTTGAAACTAAACAAGGAGAGAAGGAACCAGGGAGAAACACGGAGAAGATTCAACCAGTAGAATGGCTTGTCTTCAGAATTTGTGGAGGCTTGCTCCAGCACGGGGTTGGACTAGATCAGTGTTTCTCAACCTTGGCGACTTTAAGTCCTGTGGACTTCAACTCCCAGAATCCCCAGAGCTGGCTGGGGGATTCTGGGAGTTGAAGTCCACAGGACTTAAAGTCGCCAAGGTTGAGAAACACTGGACTAGATGACTTCCAAGATCCTTTCCAACTCTGTTACTGTATCTTCCATATTTATGTCCTATAATGCAAGTGAGATGGTTTTTGGAGGAAGAAGAGATAACTAGGACTTTGTTCTGTCTTCCCTTTATACAGGCTGACAACATAGAAGTTAGCAATGGAGATTAAGGAAAGAGCAACAAAGTTCAGAGGCCTGCTTTTTGAATGAATCTTATTATGCTTGTTTTCTATACATCCTATATTATAACTTCAGCTCCTGGTATTGGTGTTACCAGCAATGTCTAAGCATGTTCTTTTTTGAGCTTTTAAGATGTTAATGTTTTGCCAGTTATGGGTTTTTTTGAGACGACAAGCAATTTTTGTGCCCAAGCAGTTAATGTTTTGCGAGCTAATTTTCTTTTTTCAGAGGACAAGCAATGTCATGTGGTCATATGCAGATTCCCCCTCCCCCCATATCTTTTATTTTAAGCATTGTCATCTGAAATCTCATCAGATTTTTGAAGTTATTCACATAGAAATACACACACAAACACACACACACACACACACACACACAGGATTCCACAGCAGCCATCTAGGGATTTGCAATTGTTGTGTCCCCACCTTTGAAAATTACATTGCCGACTCCTAAGGCACATGAATGAATTATTCATATTAACTGGTACTTGCATTTAAGACCAATTAATGTTCAATGCAATATTCAGTGCAACACTCATTAAAGCAGAATGGGCAGAAGGCGATTAATACGCTCTTTCGGTGATGTCCAAGTCTTTGGAAGTCAGGTTAGTTGCTAAATTCTAGCATCAAAAATTGACCAAAGTCTTTAACTCAGTCTGGTAGATCATATTTCTCAACGAATTTGCTCCAGAGAAACATAATTTCTTTTTTAAGTTGAGTTGCTTCTTACTTATCAATGATTCTACTTGGGATATAATAGAACAGCTCCAGCTTTTAATAGATGCTTTCTTTATCTATTTATTAAATAGGTAGAGTACTGTATATATGTACTAAATATCTCACTACAAGTAACTACTACATGGGTTGCAGTTCTGTACATAGTGATTTGTGCTCAAATGCTATTATACTAATTAAAGCAGGATATATATACATCATCACTGACCATGTAACGCAAGGTATGTTACATATAGATCTAGACTTCAAAGTTAACTGATAAATATGTCACTTTATAAATTAACCTCCTCTTCATAATAATTCAGGGTCTTTTCAGATTTAGTTGAGATAATTTTTCTGTGTTGGGATACTGTTATGATACTTTCAAACATTTTGAAGGAGTTTTTTTTAACCAACTTACTAGTCAAGGATACTGGGAGTATTAACTCTGAGAGACAGTGTAGAATGGCAGGGCCTGGCATGCTATAAGGTCCATGGGGTTGCAAAGAGTTAGACACAACTTAGTGAATGAACAACAAGTCAATGATACGTACAATATCATTCATTTTTTTAACCAAATTAATTGTTGCATTTCTGCTAAAAGTTGCTTGAAATATTATCTCTTTATTATTCACTTATTTTTATTAACTTGATTCGTAAGGAAGGTATGTGTGTTAAAAGTATAAATCTTTCTGCATTAAGAAGTGATGCTAGTGTTGAGAGAGTTGCACTAGGGAGATCAGATGCCAACTGTTTAGGAGAGCCTTGATAAACCTGCGAATTCTAGGAAGGGTAATGCCTGTTACTATCATTACACAATTACTTTGCCTCCCATAGAAGCTGTGCTCTTGAAAGACACCGTGCACCTGGATCATGACATCTATTCAAAAGATAGTTTTAGACTTTGCTGAATCTCTTCCAGACCTCGGAAGCCTGGCATTTCTCCAAGTTCCTAGACCTAAACTATGATTGAATGCTTGCCTGTGAACGCCTAAAGATGTAGCTGCAAGTAAGCAGTTTAGTGTTTTCCTGGCGCTGTGCGTCTTTTTCTAAGTTGTTGTGAAAAGAATAGTTGTGTTACGGGAAAAGGAGGGAGGTGTTTTTTTTTTAAAGAAGGTGTATGACTTACCCATTTGGACTCTGTGCTGTTCCAAACAGGTCTCCTAAATAAGGCTGTAGGTAACCGGTTTCAAGGTTTCTGTGAACAAAAGGTACTGTTGTGCTGCAGCACAATTGCCTTCTCTGTTTTTTGTTTTGGTGTTCTGCCTTTCTTTCCTGTAGTTTTTGGCAGACTTGTTTCTGCTAAAATTCTCTTCTCTTTTTTCAGCTTCTAAGAAGTAATTATCCTGCCATTGCAGGATGGTCAAAGTGAGCTAAGTTTCCTTAATAATGTGGTGTCAGTGGAAGCCTTGATTGTTATCTCATTCCAGCTGAGCATCTGGCATGTGCTTCAATGGGATTTTTGGTGAGGGTGTCAGATAAGCTCCACAGGCGAGAATGGAGAGTTGCAGAGTAATCCTGCTCAAGACTGGATTGCTCCCAGAGGGAAGAGAGCTTTGAAGGCTGCCAACATGGAAAGTCTCAGAGGGCGGATCTGTGACTTGGGTACATAATTTATGACTGTGGTCCCCCACCCCAAGGCTTTTAGGTTGAACAAGCATGCCTTTGAAACACTACCTTTTGAAGAAGCTTCCTGTATTGTTTTCCATTTTTTATGCAAGATCTATCCTCCAGATTGACCCAGGAATGAATGCATAGCAGTGTTCACAAAGCTATCCAATCTGTGCAGTATCTTGTCTCATGTACACACAGACTTGTTTGCAGGAATTCTCTAGAGCACTTTTCCCAGGGTAAGCTCTTTGTCTGGCATACGGGTGTATTTTGGGGGGGACCATAGTATGATAGCTTGTAGAGAACAAGGAATGTACTACCTAACAAAATTATCTGTTTTCAAAGTCAAAGGTTCCCCCCCCCCCACTGTAATAAATTGGATTATGTAAAGGGGAATTCTATCTTTCTATTACAAATTCAGGATAAATTCTAAGTGGAAAATGAAAAAGGAAGAAAAGCTTCTAATAGATGATAGTTTTAGTTTTTTTTTCCTGTATGGCAGTAGCTTTTTTTTTCTTCAGCCATTCTTGGAGGAAAAAAGAATCAGAAAAGTATTACCACAAACATTAGTGCACAAAAGGTGGCTCTTCTTTTTACAGGACAGGGTATATAACTTTTTTGGAAAAAAAAACTATCAAGAGACACATGCCATCAGGAATAATCTGCTGAGAAATATCGTCCAACAGTTGGAAGGAGTAAAGTGAGAAATGGATCAGCAGAACAAGACAAGCTGTGTGCCACAGGTCTGCAATTGATGGCTTGAAAGGTAGGTATGTTTCAAGCTTATGGAGACTTAATTCCTAACACTGGAGAACCGTAAAATTATAGGAAGTAAGAAAAGCACATGTTGCAATGAATATTTATGGGACTTTTCCCATGTTCCAAACATCTATTGAGCAATGAAGGGCTTCCATTTGCATTTAATGACATGGGGAATATCCTTGGATCTGGTGAAAAATGATTATGTAAGCCCTGTAAATTGACTTTGTAATCCTGTGGATGAAGAGGTAATTTACGACTTAGTTCATTTAGTGAACTGACTTACGGGTTTTTCACTTATGACTGTTGTAGCATCCGAGGGACAGGTGATCGAAATTCAAACACTTGGCAACTGGCTCATATTTATGATGGTTGCAAGTGTCTCGGGGTCATGTGTCATAGCACAGAAAGTTTGGGCTCAGTTATGATTGTAAGTCGAGGACTACCTGTGTAATGTTTAAGACGTGGGTTTTTTAAAACAAGAGCTAATTATTCAGTGGATTAAAGATCTGATGTTACTTGCGTTTTATGAACAAGTTTCTTAAATAAATTATGAATGATGATAATAAAATATGATGACTTTTATTGAAATTGGGTAAAGTTAAATTCATATATGCATAAATGAGAGTGTCTTGGCCACAATTCTATATATACTGAAGATCTGTTTAGACCATATGTCTTGGAAGGGACAGAATTTCCAGATGGTACTGCTCTAGTTTGTTACAGGTGCTAGGGAATTTAATTAAACATTTCATACAGGTATTATTAATGGATAATGCTTAACACCTGACAACAATGTTTGAACAATGTAGTTTCCTTGCTGAGATGTCACATCCCCATGAACATCTTCAGGAGAAAAGCTGTATTAGCTTCTACATGAGACAAGACAAAAGGTAATTCAGGGGTCCACAGGTGTGAAAGCTGATACTTTCAGGACTGTATACATGTAGTTCTTGTCTTACGACCATAAGTGAGCTCATAATTTCTCTTGTTCAGCAAGAAAGTTGTTAAGTGAGTTTTTCTCAATTTTACAACTTTTCTTGCCACAGCTGGGAAGTGAATTACTACAGTTATTAAATTAGTAACACAGTTAGTAAGGGATTCTGGCTTCCCCATTGTCTTTGCTTATTAGAAGGTTGCAAAAGGTGATCGCATGACCCAGGACACTGCAACTGTTGTGAATATGAGAGAGTTGCTAAGAGTCCGAATTTTGATCACATGACCATGATCTATTTGTATGTGACTCTAGGCTTTCTTCCTAGAGTCATTACCGCTGAATGCTGCGGAGAGATTGATGCCATTTAAGAGATTATATAAGGAGTGGAACTTCAGCACTCAGCATTCTGGTTTTGGTAATTCTTAACCAGGATTATAGGAATGAGGCATTATAGAAGAGAACTATTGTGTAATGAATCACTTCTGGTTTATAATAAGTGAAAGATGCTACTTATACAGATTAGGGATTATTTATATGTAGGGGATGTTTTGAGCATTATTCTGTTTAAAACTACCTTTTGAGAGAGCGCACTCTATTTTCCTTTCCCAAACTTCATTTGATATCTTCAAGTTTAGTACAGTGTCAGAGAATGTACCTGTGATTGTGATTAATTGTGGCATTAATATTTCTGCTTTATATAACCGGATGTTGTCAATTATTTTCCTTGCTAAGTAATTCATTAAAAACAGTGTTTCATATCCGAGTTTCATATCTCTTTTTTCATGAGACATAGCAGTTAAGATAGCTACTTAGTCATCTACAGTATTTCCTAATCTGGTGCTCATCCGGTAGTGATACGATCTCCAGAATTTATAGGCAATAACTCATCCAAGTTAGGGAAAAACGCTGGAAGCTAATCTGCTTTTGCCCAACCCTTTTATTGGAATAGTGCTGTGGTACATCATTAAAAATGCAAGTAGATTTGTTAGGACCAATTGTTTACCAAATCCTCTGTATTTTACATAAATATATTCAGTAAAGCTGATTGGCAATAACATTTTTCTAATATTTTCTAGTATTCTAGGGTAATATTTAAAGGCGTAAAACTGAGTGCCTCACTTAATTTCATATATATTTTTCATAGCTTTATGTCAATTCTACAGGATTTTTCAAAGAGGACTGTTAACCAGTTTTAAAACCTGCTGGGTTTCTTCTCTGAATCTAATATTTCATCTTCCCTTAGTTTTTTCATCAGTACTGGGAGGTAGATTGGTCATTATTTTCATTTAATAGAAGAGGGTAGGTTTTACAAATATTTTTTTAAGTCTTTATATTTCTATCTTGATATCTTAGTACATGACTTTATGTTATGAGAGAAGGTTTGGGTTACTTGTCACTTCGCCATTATGTGTGAATGTTTCTACTGTGGCTTACACTCTGTAAGCTTTTTACTGTGACATGTAAAAATATAGCCTGCAAACCTAGTGTAAAAGGGAGCCTTTGTGTAAGTCTGCCTGCTGAAAAAAAATTGCATGGCTTAAGAATCCACCATGTTTATCTAACTTATAGGAGAAAAAAGTGCTCTGTTTGAATAGCCAAATGAAGTAATGTGCTAAAATGTAGTTTCACAATTGCAGAATCTTCTATCCCCACAAAACCATCTTGTGTAACTGATTCCAGGAAGGAATTGCTACTTTGGTATAGCAATAGTTTTATTATGATTATAATATAGGGAGAGAGAAAAATGAATCCCCATTCTCAACACATTGCCTCTCTGATCCTATCCATTACTCCCCTATGGCTATTCCATTTAATACAGGACATACCAATTAAGCACATACAATTATAATGCCTTTTCCAGAACTTTAAGGTAATGTGGGGCCAATTTATAACTTTATAATGTTTGGATGGAAACAGAAACGAGACTTAGGAGCTGTGGTGGCGCAGTGGTTAGAATGCAGTATTGCCAGCAGTTCAATTCGAATCGATCCACATTGTTGACTCAGCTTTCCATCCTTCCGAGGTCAATAAAATAAGCTGACTTTGTAACCTGCTTAGAGAGTGCTGAAGTCTTATTGCTATTTTATATATTATTTTTGCATTAGCATTATCACATTAGGCTTTCTGCTCAGGGTGGACAATTTTTGTCCTCAAATATTTATATTTATATATTGAGGGACGCGATGGCTCAGTGGCTAAGACGTTAAGCTTAGCTTAACGAAAGATCAGCAGTTCAGCCGATGTGTTCAAATCCCTAACACCGTGTAATGGAGTGAGCTCCCATTACTTATCACAGCTTCTGCCAACCTAGCAGTTCAAAAGCATGTAAAAATGCAAGTAGAAAAATAGGAACCACCTTTGGTGGAAAAGTAACAGCGTTCCGTGCGCCTTCAGCATTTAGTCATGCCGGTCACATGACCACGGAGACATCTTTGGACAGTGCTGGCTCTTCGGCTTTGAAACGGAGACAAGCATTGCCCCCTAGACTCAGGAACAACTAGCACATATGTGCAAAGGGAACCTTTACCTTTATTTATATTTTAGAACAAAAATTTACAAGTAAAGTTTTCACACACAAGAGTGATGGTCCATGGATGTGTTTGGAAGGAGTTGGTGTTCCTCAAAAAGAGAGTTTAAAGGGGGAAAAAAGGAGATACATGAAATTGTACAGATACAATGGAAGCAAGGATGGTTTGCAGGCTTCGATAGGTATAGAGAGGTATGCTGAATTCAGGAGTGAAATTCAGCAGGTTCTGACAGGTTCTGGAGAACTGGTAGCGAAAATTTTGAGTAGTTCAGACAACCGGCAAATACCACCTCTGGCTGGCCCCAGAGTGGGGACGGAATGGGGATTTTGCAATATCCTTCCCCTGGAGTGGGGTGGAAATGGAGATTTTGCAGTATCGTTCCCCTGCATGGCCATCAATCCACGCCCACAGAACCAGTAGTAAAAAAAATTGAATTTCATCATTGGCTGAATTGTGTGAATGTATACTGATTTTAGATACTGTATTTTTGTAGTATAACATGCACCTTTTTCCCCTCAAAAAAGAGGCTGAAAATCTGAGTGCGTCTTATATACTGAATACAGCAATTTTTGCCTCCCGAACTCTCCCCCTTCACCAAAATGACCATGCATAGCTTTTAGGAGGCTTTCAGAGTGCTCCTGGGGACTGGGGAGAGCAGAAATGAGCAAAAAAAGGCCGTTTTTTGCTCAATTTTCCCACCCACCCCCAGGAGCACTCTAAGCCTCCTAAAGGCTATCCATTTTTTTTTTTACAAAAAATGGGCCGTTTTTTTGCTCATCCCCCCCCCCCCGGAGCATTCTACAAGCCTGCTAAAGGCTATTCATGCCCTTTTTTTAAAAAAGGGGGCCCATTTTTGCAAAAAACGGACTGTTTTTGTGAGGTTTGCAGAGTGCAAAAACTTTTTAAAATTTGCCTCTTCAAAACCTTGGTGCGTCTTATACTCTGGCGCGTCTTATAATCCGAAAAGTACATTACGTTCCCCTTCTTTTTCTATTGTCTTCCACCTCAGTTTCCTTTGCTTACTACTTTTTTTACTCTTAACGGGGATACCAGGTAGGCAGATGTAAATCAAAGTTATGAATAGGAAGTTTAAATACAGGTTCGAATTTATGTGTGTCTTTCAGTGTACATACCATAACTAGATATATGGTTAAATGTTAAGGATCAAGCATTAGTGTGTCTAATATATGTTATAAAAGATATCTTCTGAGGTTGGAAAAACAAGGACCCAGATTGTTGAAGATGGTATGCGGACATTGTAAACAGCTTAGAGTGCTGTAAAATTCTATAGAACAGTATGTAAGTGCTATTGTTATTTCTATGTCGTCTTTTAACTAAATGACAAGATAAATTTACAGCAAATATAAACAAAAGAGGTGGTTCTCCCTGACTTTATCTTCCTTTTCATTTATAGGAACCTATGAAAGAGAAATGCGAAGAGAACTGCGCATGACTGGAACTTAATCATGTGTACAGAGAAAGTCCCTTAAATGTTTGAAAGGTTCCAAATGTTGTCTGAAATGCTAAGGAGGAAACTTCGTCACTGTGCTTTCTTACGGTTTAAGCCTCTTTGGGTGTTAATTTGTACATTTGGAATCTGGTCTTATATTACAATTCACCAGAAACCAAGCTACCAAGATTATGAGCATTTGGAATTGACTAGTGAGCATCCTAATACAGTAAACTGTTCCAAGATACTAGAGGGTGACAAAGAGGAAATTGAAAAAGTAAAGCTTGAACTGTTAAAAGTGTCCTTTAGGAGAACCCCCAAAATGACTCCAAATGACTATATCAACATGACAGTTGATTGTGCCTCCTTTATTAAGAAGCGGAAATATATTATGGAACCTCTCAGCCAAGAAGAAGCAGAATTTCCCATTGCGTATTCAATAGTGGCTTATCATAAAATTAATATGCTTGAGGGACTTCTGAGAACCATATACGCTCCTCAAAATTATTACTGCATTCATGTTGACAAGAAGTCCCCGGAGTCTTTCTTGGCAGCGGTAAAAAGCATTGCATCATGTTTTCCCAATGTCTTCGTTGCCAGCCAGTTGGAAAGTGTAGTGTATGCCTCATGGAGCCGGGTACAAGCTGACCTCAACTGCATGAAGGACCTCTACAGAAGGAATGTGAGCTGGAAGTACTTGATCAATCTCTGTGGCATGGATTTCCCAATCAAGACCAATCAAGAGATTGTGGAGAAGTTGAAAGCCCTCAATGGTGAAAATAGTTTAGAAACGGAAAAAATGCCTTCAAACAAAGAGGTGAGGTGGAAGAAACATTATGAAGTAGTTGATGGCAAGGTAAAAAAAATGGGGATAGACAAACAGCATCCACCTTTCAACATACCCATTTTCTCTGGAAGTGCCTATTTTGTTGTTAATAGGAAATTTGTGGAATATGTATTAGAGAACAGCAAAATCCTTGCTTTTATAGAATGGGCTAAAGACACTTACAGTCCTGATGAATACTTATGGGCTACAATCCAGCGAATCCCTGAAGTTCCTGGTGCAGTCTCTGCCAGTGACAAATACGATGTTTCCGATATGAATGCCGTTGCCCGGTTTGTGAAGTGGGATTACTTTGAGGGGGATGTATCCAAGGGTGCTCCTTACCCACCTTGCAATGGAGTTCATGTCCGTTCTGTATGTGTCTTTGGAGTCGGAGACTTGAGCTGGATGTTACAGAAACATCATTTTTTTGCCAACAAGTTTGATACTGATGTTGATCCTTTTGCAATTCAATGTCTGGAAGAGCATTTACGAGACAAAGTGCTACAACAACGCAGACATTAACATGCAGTGTTCTTTTTATGGTACATGTCTTTCTCATTTGATTAAATTGGCAGAAAAGAGATGGAAAATACAATACCCCTTTTTTGTTTTTAAACAAAGCTTGTAGGGTGATTATCTAGCTGATTGTATCCCCTGAGCTTTCTTAATTGTTTTTTTTTTCTAAAATAGTTCTATTACAAAAATTCTCTTGCAAAAGTCCACAGGATTTTAGGCATGAAACAAGATCCTCCAGTTTACAACTGAAAGACTTACACTCTGTTCATCTCTCCTCTGTATCTTTTAAAGAATTCTGTTAGAAATCAAATAATCTTGATCCTTAGTTGGTGTAGCCACTAAGACTACTTTCCTTAGTGGAAAATGGACTATTTTGAGAACTAAAAGTAGTCATGGTGGAAAAGATCTCAGATTAAGGGAAATTTATGAGATTATGAAATGGTAATTTGAAGTATATTTATGTCTCTATTGTCAAATTACCGAATTCTACACACACACACTTTTTAAAACTGTACCAGCAATATTTACATATATACACAAAACACATGCAAGTTGTTTTTTCTAAGTTTAATTTTTCAGATAGACTATTCAGTTTTTATAGACATTTTGTCAATAGAAATGTAGCAGAAGCCTCCTAGTTAAAATATTCTCAGGGAAATAAAATGTATGCCTGTTTATGTTCTTTTTAATATAACTTGATGGCATTTATGTTTGCTGCTTGCCAAATCATTTGTCACTTTTCCATAATGGGAAAACAAAACAAATCAGTAGAATTGTTAATTCATAATAGTTCCTACCATTAATTTTACTACTGAAAATTTTTTAATCTTCCAAATTGAAAAAAATGTATCCTTTTTAAGGCTTGCTGTTATGCTAACTGCATACAACTCTTCAAAAGGGGAGGAGTTAACATATTTCAGTTCTTAATAAATCAAAGCAGCAGAACAAGCAAGATCTAGAACAGGCATAATAAGTGCTGTTTCTGTTTATAGCTAGATTTTTTCTCCTCTTGGTGTGTTTCCCAGTGCTGGCTTGGAAACAATTTATAGAAATGGCATGAGGTACAAAATAGGACTTCAGTTTCCTGCTGAACATCCAAGTGTTCCAGAATAGCCCATAATTAAAACTGCGCTGGATAGAATTCTATCTTCCGGCTGCAATATATTATGTCAAATTATTTCTATACATGTTTTATTTCTTATGTGTTAATTTTTAAAAGGGAGAAAAAGTCTCATTTGAGTTGGGTTCTTGTTGACATCAAGGGAAAGCCCATCAGGTTTTTTTGGCCAGCATTGATGACCAGTGCTTACAATTTTATTTATTTCTTTATTTATTGGTCATCCCCATGTAGCCTTACACCCGGGTAGGCAAAGTTGTAGACAAAAGTGAAAATGTTTTTAAAAGAGGACAAAATCCTACCTGGCTCATTGATCAACCAAGCAGGATGAACAATTGTTTAGAAATTTGCCATCAGGATGATTGAAAAACACGCAATTTCAATTATATTGCATAGATAATATGTGGGGGACAAAGTTTCTTAAGGGTTATTTACCAAGAGTTTGCCTGTTCACTCCACTTTGGACCTACTGCTCACTTTCCTCGAGTCTAGGAACTGTTGTCATCTGACCACAGGTAAAATGAGTTTCTGTAACTCAATGTTTCTCAACCTTGGTAATTTTAAGATATGTGAACTTCAATTCCCAGAATTCCCCAGCCAGCCATGGAAAATCTGGGATTTGAAGTCCACATATCTTAAACTTGCTAAAGTTGGGAAACGTTGCTGTAGGATTTATCCCATGATGCTTGTGACTTTCCTTAAGTCACCCTACTTTAAATATTTTTGCTGCAGATTAATGTAGTAGAATCTTATGTTCTTTCCTTCACCTTTTGTCCATGGACGTTTTTTTCCAACTTCATCTTCCCTACCGGATGATCTACTCTCTCTTGATTCGGAGTTTCCAGTAGCTGTTAAGAGAGGCTTATGTTGAGACATCTTGCTTGGCATGATCCCAAAACATTACTGAAAACCATAGTTTAGCTATGCAACTGGACCATGGCAATGGGTCCTGACTTATCTTCAAGATTCAGCAAGACATTGATTGGGTTATCTCACATATTGGATTCATTTAGCATGTGAATGAATACTCTGACTTGGTAAATTCTTACAGATAATGGTACTCATGCTTCAGTTAAGAAGAATAGATGCCTTCCAAAAATATCCATGTACGTGCAATAAATCATTGTATGTGATAATTTATTTTAATTTTGTTTGCTGTTTGGCACTACTGAAGATGTCATCTGATAATAACTGATTATTAATTACAATTCACTGATTATAAGTGAATGGATTTTTGTTAGCTACGTTCGCATTCAGTTGACCAATTCTATGTTGTAATGCTCAAATTCAGTTACCAAAACATTTAATAAATATGTGATATAGTAATGTATGAGATTCTTTATTAATCTACAGTATTAATAACAAATTATTAATAACAATTGTCATGGACTTACAACCACAATTGAGACCATAATTTCAATGGCAAGGTAGTGGTTGTGTGAGTTGTGCCCAATTATACAATCTTTTTTGCCATGGTTGATCAGTGAATCACTGGAGTTGGTAAGTTAAACACATGGTTACATGTACATCTGGCTCCTCCCATTGATTTTTTTGGTCAAAAGACAGCTGGGAAGATCACAAATGGCGATCACATGACCTGGAGATGTTGCAACCATCATAAATACATGCTGGTTGGCAAAACACCCAAATTTTGATCACATGACGGTTGCAATGCTGCAGTGGTTGAAAGTAAGGAATGGATCATAAGTCACCGTTTTCAGTGTCATTGCAATTGCAAACAGTTGCTAAGTGAATAGTTGTAAGTTGAGGACTATCTACAACTTTCAAGTTATCATAACTTAATGTAACAAAGACTCCTGGTCTAATTAGTACTGTGTTTCTATAGATGCAAGAGTTCACAAAAGCATAAAATGCCAAGTGAGAGACAACCTTGTCTTCAAAAAAGTATGGATGTACTGTACATACTATTTTTAACCACTATTCATTGTGTCATTGGCTATTGTCAAGGATTGCTCAGTAAAATGTAACAAATTTGCTTCGGGATCCTTGCTTCTCAGCTGCCGAAACATTACTGCAATGAACAGAAAACTGATTGGAGACTGATGCTCTTTATATAGCATTCTGTTTTAGCTATCTGATGTTTACATACCATCATAAAAATTGCCCTGAATGAATTTAGCATTAGAGAAAATAATCTGCATTGTGATGCAACGCTTAAGAATGTGATCCTTCTTGTGCTAAAGTAAAACCATATTTGGGATTTCCAACTGTCAATCAATATCCTATGTTTTAACAAGGAAAAATGCAATGAATGCATGGAAATACCCAGTATGGAAAAACATTTTGGACATGCAGATTTCTATGTGAATCACTTTTAAGATATACGACCATTTAGAAGACTTGCTACAGCCAATTACTTGATCTCTTAAGTGGAATAGGTTACTGTAACTTCCTAAGGCTCTGAACTGAACAATTTGCCTGATTCTTGCGAACTAGCAAACTAACCCTTTGGCTTGACAATCAGGTATGTATTTACATTTATCCAGGGTTTCTTGGGAACTGTTCCATTTAATTAATATGACTCCTCCTCAGACATTTCATACATTCCTTTAATTGCCAAAGAGTTTCCAAGGTTCTGGCTTAGTTCCCTTTTCTTAAAACAAGAAAAGCTGCCTTAGTGAAAGCCTCAAGGTAAAGTCAACAAAAAAATCAACAAGAAAACACTAGCATCTTGATCTCTTGTAATAAAAGTTTAGCAATGGGCAAAGTGAACTCTGAAAATTAATAGCCAATGAAGTGAAATGAAAGCTGGTAAAATAAGCTCTGATGAAATTGAGGAGACAAGCAGAATATGCTCACCTTGAGTTATTCAGAAGTTGAACTATATTTCTCAGCACCGGCCATGCTAACTAGGTTTCATAGAGATGTAGGTTCAACATCATTTAGTGGACAATATATTCTCACAATGTAGATAATAAACTATTTTTAACCTAGTTTAGAATGGAGAATATTCAAACTATTTGCATCATTTTCTATGCAAGGTTATTTTGTCATTTTGATCAACTTGCACTATTTCTTAGTTACATTTTATTAATATGCTAAGTTTACTCACAAAATAGAACTGACCATGGTATATTTTATATTAAAGGGATCTTTTGAAAAATTTTACTGGAAGCAATAGGGCCCCTCTGTTTCTTTTGGCTTTTCTTAGGACAAACCTAAATCTTTAGGTGGAAAAATGTTTTACTTAAATACAAGGCTGCTATAGATGTGGAAACTGGCTAGGATATACTCAGGCCATCTTTGTCTCTAGGGAAAAGTAGAACCTCATGTATTTTAACAGACTTGAGGCTATAAGAAATTCTGACTCCCTTGTTTACTGCTGGCAAGCAATGGCACTGGAGAATTGGAAATGTTGATGTAAGAACATTAAGCCTACTCACATTTCAAAGTGCATGTTATGTTAAACCAGGCACTGTTTATGCTTTTCATTTTCAGGAAAAGCCCTGAAATTGTAAATCATGGAAAATGTTTAGGCAATCTAGTCAAATGAAAGCAATTAAATGAATAAGAGCTTTCTTCTCCACTCCAGGTTGCAGTTGGGATTGATATAAGGCTAAAGCAGAAATATTAGTTTGTTTCAGAAGGGGGGGGGGGGACTGCTTTTCTTTTAACTCTAATTTTTGATGTTTCTTAAATCTCATAATTAGCAGGGGCGGGTTATCATTCATAAATATAAGTATTCATCCAATACTGCATATAAGTTTGAATCTGAAATTGGCATATACATATACAGACAGATAGATAGATACACACACACACACACACACACACAAACAATATTTTTGGTCAAAAACGGACTGTAACAAGGGACAGATCTAAAATTTGTGCACTGATATTTTCACACTAAAAGGAAAGGACAAGTCTTCTGGAAACATTTGTAGGTGATTAAAGTGTGTGTGCATTTCCAATTTTTCCGGAGGAATTTGCAGGATTAGCCAGGATTGGGTATTGTGATGTCCAATTGGCCTCGAGACAGAATTAAAACTGAAGCCACGCCTCTGTGCCCCTTGCTTCTGGTTCCCAGTTTCAACTCTGTCTGGCCGAAGTTTCAACTCTGTCTGGCCGAAGTTTCAAC